ATTAATTTTTCGTTCAAAGTCTCATCTTAAATAACCACAAATTATAGTATTAACTACCATCAATAGAATGTTTTCCTTTGGGTTAAGCACTTTTATCACATTTAACACTCATAATACCCTCATCCTGAACACATTATTACCATTTTACACATAAAGTTAATAATTTACCTACCACCCTTGTCAAAACTAAACCTCTGTCCACATTACAGAAAAACAATTACAAGAGACTCTGATTGCAAATAAACACATACAAATAATAGCACAAGTATTCAAATTGGCATTTCCTTACATATCTATTACTGTGTCTTAAGCACAAATTTACAAAACTGTGGTCTCATTTGTTTCCCATAGCAGCCCTGATGGGATTATTGTCACTACCATTATGTCATAGGCTGCAAGGACCAGAGAGTTGAAATGAAGTCACTCAGGTTTTGATTCCTCCTCCTTTTTCCATACACCATCTCTCTTCTTTATGGTTAAAGAAACATAACCCCCATAATGTAAGTATTATGCAATAAGAAGATGAATGTATTAGAGATCTTAACAAGCAACTTTTATCAGTTACATTCTTCACCAAGTTAATTGAGTTACTGGCTATTTTGATGCCTACCACAGAAAATACAAATTATATAAATAAATTCTGTTAAGCTGGCATGTTAGCAAGGGAATCCCCTGGATTCTACTTGTACTGGCCAGAAGTCAGTGAGAAGTACAAACTATCTCCTTGTGTAAAAACAGGGTGTATACACTAGTCTTCCATGAATTAACAGTTGTTTCAAAGACATCTGCCCATAAAATCAACCACCTTACAGCCATTTGCTCCAGAGTGGGTATTGAGGGTGGCTACCTATAAACACACATTTCTACTCACGTTTAGCAAGTATGTGTACACTCACACACACACAGCTGTGATTAGTAATAACTGGAAAATCGTTTTTAAAATACAATAGTTCTCTTGGCTCTGCCCTTATGAAGACTTATGCTTCTCAATGTGCACAAGCAACACTGTTCTATTTAATTACTTCCACTTCTTCTACAATGTCTACCGTTACCCTTTCCACTTTAAAATTTCTCACTCCTGCCCTGGCCAGTATGGTTCCGTTGGTTGGAACATTGTCCTGTAAACTGAAAGGTCATGGGTTCAATTCCGTCAGGGTACCTACATAAGTTAAGGGTTTGATTCCCGATTCTGGCAAATACTGTCTGATTGATGTTTGTTTGTTTCCCTCCCTCTCTTACACTCTCCCTCTCTTCCTCCCTCCCTCCCCCCCTTCCTCCTTCCCTTCCTCAAGTCAATAAACATATCCTCAGATGAGGATTAAAAAGAAAACATTTTTTATTTCCCACTTCACTTAGTGACTTGCCCTTTTACTTTTCTTTTTCTCTAATCCCCACACAAGAATATGTGTTTATTGATATTGAGAGAGAAACACTGATGTGAGAAATGAGAAACATCAATCAGTTTGAACCTGTAACCTAGGTTGTGCCGTGACCGGATATTGAATCTGCAACCTTTTGGTGTTCCGGCTGACACTCCAAACACTGAGCCACCCAGCCACCTATTACTTTTTAACCCTATCTTCTCATTAGTATATCAGACTTCAAAGTTTTACCCACTCGTCTCTAATTATGTGACAATTTTCAATGAAGAAGTGCCTCCTGCTTTCTCTAAGAGCGCCTCTGAGGAGTTTCTGTGACAAGTTACAATCATTCCCTCTAATAGCCAAACTTAATTCCCTCACAGAAAGATTTTGAAAGAAAATAAAATCAAAGCCAGATGTTTAAAGTACTTATAAAGTAACAAGTATCCTATTGCCATTATACTTTCAGGTTGGTTTGTTTTTTGTTTTTTGTTCCTGCTAGCCATTTTTAAAGCTACTGGAGAAAGCCCTCAATCGTCTTCTGGATTATGGGTGCTGAGAGTAAGGGATAGGAAGAAACTTACATGAGTAATGAATTCATCGGGGAATCATGTTCAATTACTCTATATTCCCAACTATCTTCCTTAAGTTATATAACGTCCAAGAAAGTAAACAACACACCTGAACTTTGAAATTCCAAAATGGCTACAGACTGCAGTACTGTTACACCTTTAAAAAGAAAAGGCGGGGGGGGGGGGGGCGGGGGGGGGGCTGTTTCTCAGCGCCCATCCCAGAGAAAAACCCCTTTGGTAAAGCTGTAAACTGCCATTACAAAAGGTTAACTTTTATTCCCATCCCTTACATTTCTGGCTCTTACAATTGAGTGCCTGCCTGTTAAATGGCTTTGCTTACAATTGTATGTCAAGCAGGTCTTCCACTGGGGCACAAATAATTTTTTGATGTATATTGCTACTAAGTGTTGAAATTTTTAAAACATATTTTGCCCCGAAGGCCTGGCTCAATGATTGACTGTCTACCTATGAGCCAGAAGGTCACGGTTCAATTCCCCGTCAGGACATATGCCCAATTTTGACTTGATTCCCAATGTGGGGCGTGCAGGAAGCAGCCAATTGATTCTCTCTCATCATTGATGTTTCTATCTCTCTCCCCCTCTCCCTTCCTCTCTGAAATCAATAAAAATGTTTAAAAAATAATATAACCATGCCTTGAACTACAGGATCAATCTAGATGACAGTCTTCCAGGCAGCTGCTTACTATCAGACATATGGGGGGGGGAATCACAATTTTGGAAGAATTCTAACAATTTCAATCAATTATTTTCACTTATGAATATTCAAAAATTTTATCCTAAAGTTATAAAACAGTAGCTAACAAAAAAGGAATTCCAAAATAGGTGCACTCTAAAGACCAGAATAATCTCATTTTACACTCATTCCTTATAATAAATTACTCTAAGACAGCTCTTTCTTCCCCCAAAAAATAATTTCAAAGGATTTCAAAACTTGACTAAACATCTACATATTCCAATCATCCTATTATATAAAGTCATTAAAATATGAGTGTTAATGCTTTATAAAGATCCTACATTTCCTAAAAAAGCGGAAGCATTTCTCTTAAAAGTCACACGAAGCACCTAAGACGTAACTACTGGAGTTGCACCTGACTCACCCCAACTTGGCACTTCACCTTTACTCATCCAGAAAGCAGAGGGAGACAAAGAGTTTCTCCAGTCAAAAATAGGAGAGTCCCTCCTCATCCACAGCCTGTTTGCTCTCCCTTCAAACACAAATCTTAACAAGGTATTTGGTTTCTAATGTAGTAATAGGTGACTCAGAGCAAATTAGCAGGGAGAGGGACTGTTGTAGGCATTCCTTTGCTAGGAATGACTATCAAGTGAAGACTAACTAGAAGGAGAGAAAAAAAAGACTAAAATCTGCGAGGAGCAGACTGAGCACTGAATAAATGGTTAGCCGGGTCTGTCCAGTTTTAGAAATCCCATTTCTTCTCAGTGTACCACAGCATAAAAAACGATGTTCTTGGTCACAGCGGAGTCAAAAACTTGTGCTTCTGATTAGACGGGTACACGGAAAGACAGACATATAGACACACACACACACACACACACACACACACACACACACCCTAGGGTCCAAAAGAGCTAAATTAACCAATGCAACTGCATTCCAAGCCAATTACTTGAGAATTCCAACCAGAAGAGATCTAGGACAAAACATCCCTTTTTTATTTATTTATTTATTTTTTTCTGCGTAAACAGTTCTGCCATGTGCTTCGGTTGGCAGGTAGTAATAAATCAACCTTTACTTCCCGTTCTTTTTTTCCCTTACCAAATCTCTGCCCTCTGACTTCACCTCTGACCCGTCCCGGGGCCACCGTTGAATGAAGAAGTGTTATTTCCCACAAACTTTTCTATCCGAGGGAGCCTTCCTGGCCACTATCTTATCAAAATGCCTTCCATTTCATCTCACGGGGTCTCAGATCAGATTTTTGGAAAGAGAGAACTCTGAAAACCGCCCAATTCCTATCTAGTGTCGTTATCCCAACTTTTCACCTGTGCCATGGCCGGACCGACCTAACTGGAAGCTTTTATGATTTCTATATAAAAGCCTTTGCAGACTTCATGCCTTCTAAGTTACCATCAAAATTCCCAGACAGAATTCCCTGTGTTCAATCCACACCCCAGGGAAACATCAAGGCTATAAATTCCTGAAAATAGGGGTGCCGTCGGCGAGACGGCCGACGCACACCATCTGGGGGGACCAGGGGCGTCCCTCGCGCTCCCGGCCGGAGTGGGAACCCCAGTTCAGCAAAAACCCGGGAGCGAGGGGTCGGCCGGAGTGGGAACCCCAATTCAGCAAAAACCCGGGACTTCGCGCCGCCAGACACGCTCAGTCGGGGGGTGGGGGAGGTCGGAGCCCCTGCCTCGGACCCCAGTTTGACAACTTAAGTCCGGACTCGCACCCTGGCCCCGCGCCCCCGCGCGGAGGGGCTCCAGCGGGGCCGCGGGGCCGCGGGCGCCGGGGCCGCCGGGCACCGCCAGCCTGGCCCCGCGGGCGGCGCGGCCCCCGGGAGGCGCCCGGAGAGGCCCCCCGACCTGGCGGCGCGCGCGGTGTCCGCTCCCCGCGCGCCCTCCTCCGCGGGGCCCATTCCGCCCGGTCACCCGCCGCCCGAGGGAGACACGGCAGCGAGCGCCCGCGGTGACAGGTCGCCCTGCCGCGGCGTCCCGACCTCTCCGGGGACCCAGGCCGCCGCCGCCCTCCCGCGCCCCGGTCCTCAGCCCCGGCTCAAGGCCGCCCCCTCGGGTCGGGGCGGACGCGGCGGCGGCGGCGGCCACGCGGAGGGCGGGCAGGGGGCCGGGCCGCCTCCCGAGCACCGACAGCTGCGGCCGCCGGGCGCCCCTTCAAGGCCGCGCGCGGCGGGAGCGCGGGGCGCGGCGGGCGTAGGCCCCACAGCCCGGCCGCCCGGCGCGGCGCCGGGAGGAGCGCCGAGCGAGCGGCCGCGGCCACGACCCCGCCGCCTGCAGCAGCCGGAGCCCGCGCGCCCCAGCGGCCCGCGCCCGCCCCCCGCCCGGACCCCGCGGCCCCCTCCCGCCGCCCGTACCTAGCGAGGTCGTGGACGAGACGTGGTTGACCTCGGTGCCGGGGTCGCTGGTCCGCCGCCGGCGCCGCAGCCCCAGGGGCGGCTGCTGCCTCCGCGCCACCTCGTCCCCCTCCGCCATCTTGTACCGATTTAAAATTAACTCCCCGCTGACGTCAAACGGCGCCGCCGCTTTATCCACCTCCCGGGAGCCGGCGGGCGCCGGCGGGTCCTAGCGCCGCCCTCGGCCCGCCTCCTTCTCCTTCCCACGCCCTCCCGGCCACGCCCCCCAGTGCCCTGGCTCCGCCCACCGCCCCGCTGGCCGGGGCTGGGTTTGTCCAGCCTTTCCCTTCTGGGATGCATTGGGCGCGCGGTCTGCCCCCCCACCCCCAGCCCAGAGATCTGTGTACACACCCTTTGCCCTTGGCCGGGATAAACCCAGGAGGAATCTCCTTGGGACCAGGTCCCTCCTCCCCAATTCTCTCTCTCTCTTAATCTCTCTTAATATATTTTATTGATTTTTTACAGAGAGGGATAGAGTTAGAAATATCGATGAGAGAGAATATCATCCATCGGTTGCCTCTTGCATACCCCCTACTGGGGATGTGCCCGCAACCAAGGTACATGCCCTTGACCGGAATCGAACCTGGTACCTTTCAGTCCGCAGGCGATGCTCTATCCATTGAGCCAAACCGGTTTCAGCCATAAACCCATACTCTTGACAGCTTTCCTCCCTATTCTTTGACTGGAACCCTGCACGTGAGGTTGCTTCCCCCCTCCACTCCTTTCCTTCTCCCCTTTTCATCACCCCCTCCTCCTTCACAACTATTCCCTTCCTCCCTGCCTGCCACCCCGCCCCAGCTATTGCTTGCGACCTGCTTTCCCTTTTGATTCACACACACACACACACACACACACACACACACTCAAGTCCCTGATGTTGCTCCCCCTCCACACACCAGCCTATGGTTCATTTGCAATAGCTCCATTTATAAAACCCTTCCCTATCTTCTTACGTGTGCATACCCTTACCCTCCAGCTACTAGCTAGCACCTTGCAGGGGCAAGCCAGAAAGCTCTCCGACCAGAAAATGAATTTTAGCAGATCCTTTAGTGATGAACTTTCTTGTAGGGGATCCAATGACATTCTGTAAAAGTTCAGGTCACATTTTTAAAATAGCCTGTGGACCCTGGCTGGGTAGCTCAGTCGGTTGGAGCATTCTCCCAATAAGCCAAGGTTGTGGGTTTGATCCCTGATCAGGACACATGCAAGAATCAACCAATGAATGCAGAAATAAATGGATCAACAAACCAATGTTTCTCTCTCTCTCTCATCAACCAATAAATGAACAATTTTTAAAATAGCCTGTGGAGACTTCTGTGATACATGGTCCCTATTCTTTTGGGTTTTTGCCACATCTGCAGTTGCATTACCAATTCCTTTTCTCTGATTGTTGCTAGAGGGGATGGGGGTGGAGGAGACTGGATGAAAAGGATTAAGAAGTACAAATTGGTAGTTACAAAACAGTCATGAGGATACAAAGTATAGCATAGGAAACCTCATCAAAAATATTGTAACAACTATGTACGGTGCCAGATGGGTACTGGAAAGATCAGAGGGAACACTTTGTAAAACATATCATTATCTAAACACTATGCTGTAGACCTGAAACTAATACAAAGTAATATTGAATATAAGCAGTAATTGAAAAATAAAATATTCTCTCTCTCTCTCTCTCTCTCTCTCTCTCTCTCTCTCTCTCTCTCTCTCTCTCTTTCTCTCTCCATGCACAAATAAAGGCCATTTGCAGGCACACTGAGATGGCCACTTGTAAGCCAGAAAGATAGCCTCACTGGAAACCAACCCTGAGGCACTTTCATCTTGGACTTCTTACCTCCAGAAATGTGAGAAAATATATACATACTAGAGGCCCAGTGCACAAATTCATGCCTGGCCTGCACCCACTCCAATCCGGGACGCCCCTCAGGGGATGTCCAACTGCCAGATATCTGCTTTGTGATCCGGACCACTGGCTCCTAACTGTTCACCTGCCTGCCTGCCTGATCGTACCTAACTTCCTCTGCCTCAGCCCCCACACCCAGACCCAGGCTTCCCTCCCTCTGGCCAGTCTCAGGCACCTGGTCACCCGGGCCGGCCCCAGGAGCCTGAACCACAGGCGGCTTCTCCCAGGCACTGCTTTGTCAGGAAGGATGTCCGGAAGGTCATCTGGAAGACGTCATGTCTAATTAGTATATTACCCTTTCATTAGTATAGATATCAGTGGGAAGAGGGAAGGGGACATCAACATACCATTTCATTCATTTGTGCATTTGTTAGTTGCTTCTTGCATGTGTTCTGCCAGGGGATCAAACCTGCAACCTCGGTGTAAGAGGACTACCCTCTAACAAACTGAGCAACCCAGCCAGGACAGAAAATGTCTATTGGTAAAGCCGTTCCATCTGTGGTATTCTGTTATGGAAGCCAGAGCTGACTAATGAAGGGGGCATCATTAGTGGCCCACTGAAGTGTAATTTTGCTGGGAAACTCTGGGAATTGGTACACCTAAGATTGATTTCTTTCTTTCTCTCTTTCTTTTCTTTTCTTTTCTTTTCTTTCTTTTCTTCCTTCCTTCCTTCCTTTCCTTCCTTCCTTCTTTCCTTCCTTCCTTCCTTCCTTCTTTCCTTCCTTCCTTCTTTCCTTCCTTTTTTCCTTTCTTTCTTCCTTCCTTATTTCCTTCCTTCCTTCCTTCCTTCCTTCCTTCCTTCCTTCCTTCCTTCCTTTCTTTCTTTCTTTCTTTCTTTCTTTCTTTCTTTCTTTCTTTCTTTCTTTCTTTCTTTCTTTCTTTCTTTCTTTCTTTCTTTCAGGATTATTTCTAACCAAGGAATGAAGAGGCTAGCATTTCTGCGCATTCATAACAGATACAACTAATGACTGCTCCCATGCGTCATTCATTTCTCCAAACATCTATCTAGTTACAAAGTGGCTTCCTGCAATTTAAGGAAGAAAGGAAACCTCGGAAATACACGCAGACACAGCCCCTGGGAACTGGGTGCTGCTGGGGAGAATACTGACTGAGATCTGATGCCTTGGCAGCTGAATATGATATACTGACTCCAAGGCAGTTTCAGAAGCTGTCCAGGGGATTTGACTTTGTTCAAATCAGCATCTACTTTTCCGTCTGCATCCTCCCCACCGCCCCCTCCCCACCCTTTCACCTAAACACATGGGCATGCAGGATGTGCCCTGTCCCTCCATCACACCAATGTGATGACAGTCAATTACTGCAAAAGCCCTTCATACAAACTTGGAAAATACAGAACTATGTAAGATAAAAGGAAAACATTTAAGGAATTCCTTTTCTCGCCCAGCCGCGGTAGCTCCGTGGTTGAGCATCGACCTACCAAGCAGGAGGTCACGGTGCGAATCCTGATCGGAGCATATGCCCAGGTTGAGGGCTCGATCCTCACTCATAAAGGAGGCAGCTGATCAGTGGTTCTCTCTCATCATTGATGTTTCTATATCTCTCTCTCCCTCTCCCTTCTCTGAAATTAATAAAGATATTAAAAAAAAAGAAAGAAATCCCTTTTCTCTAGTAAGGACAGGTAGACAGGTGTCCAAATCACTGTCTTTTTTGTGCAGGTTGTCTCACAAATCTAAAACTAACAGCCTTCATCCCACATGATCTCTAGAAAAGCATTGGTGTCGTCGACGCTTGCAAGGGACCGGCCATTCTACAGGTATTTTGTAGGGCTGCTTCAAAATTCACCTGCTTTCTGTTTTCACGGAAAGAGATTTGGAGCTCCTGCTGGACTTTCTAACACCCTGCATCCTGGTTCAATGCCTGTGGGACGGCCTAAGCCCCAAGCCATAATAAATCTTGCTTGACGATGGATTTCCTCTCATAATTTCCCCACATAGCATCTATTTATTGCCCACAGTCTACTTTATGCAAGGTATCGTCTGGGTCATGAGAGAAAGATGCAAAGATGGGTATTTTTGCTGACAAAGAATTAACTCCCAGTGAGAATTAGTAATCAATTTTGCACTAAATGCACCCATCAGGGACACGTCCTCCCCAGAGAGCTGGCCAATTGGTGTCCTCACTGGTGTCCTTTCTGCTACAGTAGCCCCTCCCTGACCCACGGGAGGGGTCCATTCCAAGATCCCCAGCAGATGCTTGAAACTGTGGACAGTCACGAACCCAATATTTACCAGGTTTTTTTCCCTAATAGTATACATACCCATACCCTTGATAAAGTTTAACTTATAAAATAGGCACAGTAAAATATAAACAACCACAACAATAAAATAGAACAATTATACCAATATACTGTAACAAAAGTTATATGAGTAGCACTCAAGCCATTGTTAAGTAAAGTAAGGGTTACTTGCACACAAGAACAGTGATACCCTCGACAGTCAAGTTGGTGACCTAGTCCTAAGCCACTACTAAGTGACTAGTAGGATCGCATGAGATTTCATCACAATCTTCAGAAGGGCATGCAAATTAAAACATCAATTGTTTATTTCCAGAATTTTTTTATTTAACACTTTCAGCCCATCTTTGACTCCAGGTAACTAAAACTGTTGAAAGTGCACTGCAAATAAGAGAGGACGCGGTGTTGTTTGTTAGATTCCCAGGCATGGCACAAGCCCAGATTGTGGGCTCACTTCCCAGGGGGGTGGGGCTGTGCTGGAGGCAGCCAATCAATGTTCCACTCTCACATCATGTTCCACTCTTCATATCCATGTTTCTCTTTCTCTCTCCCTTTCCCTTCTTCTCTAAAAAATCACTACAAATAGCCGAGACCAGTTTGGCTCAGTGGATAGAGCATCGGTCTGCGGACTGAAAGGTCCCGGGTTCGATTCCGGTCAAGGGCATGTACATTGGTTGCGGGCACATCCCCAGTAGGGGGTGTGCAAGGGGCAGCTGGTCGATGTTTCTCTCTCATCGACGTTTCTAGCTCTCTATCTCTCTCCCTTCCTCTCTGTAAAAAATCAATAAAATATATTTAAAAAAAAAAAATCACTACAAATATATATATATATATATATATATATATATATATATATATATAATTTTTTAAAGGTTAAATAATTTGGTAAGGCCATGTGACTAGTAAATTAAGAAGCTAAGATTTA